CCCTACCGCTGTGCTATCGCTCCAGCCCCTGTGCTATCGCAACACCATGTGGTACAGTTGTAGACTTACAAATTTTTGTGCTTGGGCTTCAGTTATATAATGATCAAGTACCCATCCCTCCACCAGTGCACATTCTCCACCTCCAGTGCTCCCAGTATCCCTCCCACCCCCACCCCCCCTTGCATATTTACATTTACCACTGGAGCCATAGCACAGCGGGTAGGGCATTTGCTTTGCATGCGGCTAACCCGGCAGACCCAGGTTTGATTCTTCTGTCCCTCTTGGAGAGCCCGACTAGCTACCGAGAGTATCTCACCCGCACGGCAAAGCCTGGCAAGCTACCCATGACGTATCTGATATGCCAAACACAGTAACAAGTGTCACGATGGAGACGTTACTGGACCCACTCGAGCAAATCGATCAACAATGGGAGGATAGGACAGTGACAGTGACAGTGACATTTACCACTTAACACTTTCAGCATAAATGTGCACACAGCTCTAGAGGAACCTCCTTTGAGTTTAATGTCTATGTTTTAAATTGAGGGTGGGGCTGATTGCTCATTCCAATCTTCTGAGTGTTCAAAGAAAGTTCTTTCTTTTTCCAAGTCCTGGAGAATTGTGTAATTTAAAACAGGCACCAACAGTCATTCATTCGTAAGGGCACTTGTTCTTCTCAGTGAAGGAAGTTCTTTCTCTTTCTGATTCCTGGATTATTGTGTAATTTACAAAAGGTACCAACAGTTATTCATTTAGAAGAGCACTTGTTCTCCCCAGATAAAGAAAGTATTTTGAGTTTAGGCAGAGAGGTACAAACCACCTGAAAAATTTCTGATTGTCTCTCCTGTCAGGAGGCTGCCTCCTGATCTAATTGCAGCAGCAGAAATTTGATTCCATGACACAGGCTCATGGATACCCATGGACACACACACACACACACACACACACACACACACACACACACACACGAATATAGACTAATAATAATGATCAGAAAAGCTGATGTGTCTGATACATGAGAAATGAAGAAGACATCCCAAGGGCCTTGGAAAACCCGTGTAAGAATTTGGGCACTCCACTCAATGCCTCTTTGCAGACCACAACACCCAAAAGGAGAGAGAGAACACAGGGGATTGCCCTGCCACAGAGACAGGGGGGATGGGGGGATGGGGGTGGGAGGGATATTATCCATGGTGGTGGAAAATGGGCACTGGTGGAGGGATGGGTATTTGATCATTGTATAATTGAAACCAAAGCACAAAAAATTGTAAATCTACAACTGTAAAAAAAATAAAATAAAATAAAGGGGAAAAAAAAGAATTTGGGCACTCTTAGAAAGAATGCCTTCTCAGTAGCTGTGAGGGGTGGGCGAACATGGAAGTGAACCAAGATGGCCAGGCCACGCTTTATAACAGAAAAAAACTGCAGCATCACAAACTGATATTTGGGGAACAGGCGGTTTTTTTTTTTAGAAGTCTATATTCTGTATTTCTGAGATTTACGAAGACTAGCTTCTCTTCTGCAATTAGGCCTTTTTCATAATCTCTCAGCATTTTCATTTTTTAAAATGCTAGACTGGGTTAGCTGTGCTAAGAGGAACCAAAAAAGAAGGGTTTGTCCAACTTGGATCAGAGTTGTTGTTTTTTTTTTAATTTTTTATTTTTTGCTTTTTGGGTCATACCAGGAGATGCACAGGGGTTACTCCTGGCTCTGCACTCAGGAATCACCCCTGGCGGTGCTCAGGGGACCATATAGGATGCTGGGAATCGAACCCGGGTCAGCCACGTGCAAGGCAAATGTCCTACCCACTGTGCTATCACTCCAGTCTCATGCTTCGACCAGAGTCTTAAAGAGGAAATGACTCACCAAACCTTGGACAAAGTACAAGCCAGAGAGGTGCTGATAATTGAGAGCACCTCAGGGGAAGGTAAACTGAGGGCAACTGAATTGGAAACCCTTGTTCAGAAACTTCCTGACACTGAGATGGCTGTATCGAATCTGAATCCATCCCTCCACCCCATTACAGCCCTGGTGACCAGATGAGAAACCAGAAGGGGCCGTGATCCCTGGGCCAGATGGAAGCCTGGGATGGGTGAACCCCACACCTGTGCTGTCAAGTACAGAGCGTGCAGCAGAACTCTGGCTGAGTCTTCACAGGGGTACAGGTCGAATTCGAGCATGAATCTCAAGGCTGGCAGGCTCCCCACCCCATTTCCCAGTCAATGAAGAGTGCCCGCTCAGACTGCAGAGGACCCGGGCAAGGCTAGGGAGAGGCTCGCCAAGAAAACCTGGGACACGGAGCAGAGTTAAAGCGACTAACTGGAATATAAACCAGATGCATGGACCCAGGGCAGGACCTGAGGAGAGGAGGAGCTGCCCCGTGTTGGGAGGACTAGGGACTATCCGGCTCCCTGGCCACGAGATTCCAGATTTGAATCTTTCAGACCCCAGACCTGCTCTTGAAGGCCGTTGGTAGCTGCGGCAGGTACAACTGGGAGTAGGAAGCCGCCGTGACTGCCAGTATCCTGGACGCGGTTCTGCCCTCTCAATCTGCCCCAGTTATCTGAAACACACTCCTCCAAAACCCAGTGTCTCTGACAACTACAGTCCTTTATCTCGGACTGCAGACAAGGCAAGTCAGGTGCTGCTTTTCGTGTATGTCTGGGGCCTATGACTCAGATGGCTGGTTACAGGGAAGGGTGCTGACAAGGAACCCCTCTTCCTGCAGTCCCGGGGCTTCTCTCGGTGGGGTTCTCTCCTGCGTTCTCTCCAGCACAGTGCTCTCAGCCGCAGCTGAACTTGGCGAGGGGCCCATAGGAGCAATCATTTCTAGAGACTCCGCATAAGTTGCAAGGCATTTTCTGATCTAACTTCGAAAGTTCCAGAATATGGTGATTTTCCATCCTATTCAATTGGTTTCACAAACCACTTAACCCCCCCCCCCCCCCAACTTGGGAATAAGATGCAGAACACTCCTTGCAGTAGGAGGCTCAAGGAAGTTGTTGCCATTTTGAATTCTTCACACCAACTCTCCAAGTTCTTCGCAGCTTGTGGCGAAGTCTGTGCTCTGGATCCCGCTGTGGCCGCTGGGGGCCAGCCATGCACAGGGCAGAAAGAACGCGGCCACGGAGGCCTCCAGGCTTGCATTCTGGCCCAGACAGGACCCAGCTCTTAGCAACTGGTTGTGCTGGTTCCGTTCCTTAACAACTAGAGCCACAATCTCCAAGTGTGGAAAATGGAAATCAGACACTAGTGGACAAGAAAGTGTATTTCTCAGACCTTCCAGGGTCATGCGTTACCCATCACCTACCCTTCCCCAGTAGCTGAAATGAAGTCCAGCCTCTTGTATCATCCCCAGCCTGACGGGGGGGGGGGGGTGGGGCGTGTCAGCTTCCTAGGGCTACCCCCAGCCCCTGATTGAGGACAAGAGGCCTATTCCAGGGACACACAGGGCTTCCAGGAGTGGCAAATTAGGCCACTCCCCTCCACCTGCCAATCTTGCTGACATTTTTTAGAGCTGTAGTATAAGATGTTGCTTGGAGGGCTGGAGAGAATGCAGAGGTCAAGGCCCTTGCCTTGCATGCACTGAGCCTGGTTTGAGCCTCAGCCCTGCTGGGAGTGAGTCCTGAGCTCAGAGCTAGGAGGAAAAGCCCTGAGCACTGCCATGTGAGGACTCCCTCCCCCCACAAAGAGAGAAAGAAAGAAAGAAAGAATGAACCTGTCCTCCTTGTCTCTGTTCTTTATGGAGAAGGTAACTGAAGTCTGGGTCAGCAGATTCCATGAACCTCTCATCCAGTGCCCTTGTCTGGCACTAGGGGTGGGGGGTGGGGGGGAGATGGGGGAGGCGGGCAGACACACAGTCGCTGACTTCACAAGGCTGCAGGGCTGTGTGTAAGTGCTTGGCCAGAGCCCGGTGTACAGCTGACCAGATCCTTAACTAGTGTTGAGGAATCCCTGTCTCACCGGACAGGATCTGAGTGTTAAAAGTAGGTAAAGGAATAGTCTTGATAACCTTTCATTAGCAATATTGCAAAGCACAATGCGGGGAGAGAGAGAGAGAGAGAGAGAGAGAGAGAGAGAGAGAGAGAGAGAGAGAGAGAGAGAACTTCTTGTTACTGTGTTTGGCATATTGAATACTCTCGGTAGCTTGCCAGGCTGTACGAGAGGGGCGAATTCAATTTAAAAAAAAAGTAATAAATAAATAAAGAAAGAAAAATAAAATCCCTGTCTCCTGCAGGCTTTCAGCTGGTGCCTCCAAGTCAAAGAGGAACAAAGCCCATTCAACTGTCAGGGCTCCCTTAAGCACCGCCTGAGTGGCCCCTGGGGACCCCGCTGGGTGTGGCCCCAAAATAAAACAAACAGGAAAAAAAAAAAAGAAAGCTTCTGACTCCCAGCAGAGGGCAAGTGCCTCAGCAGTGACCCCAAAGGTAGCTGCACCGCCCCCAACCCCGAGCCCCGCAGACGTCAGCCAGGAGGGCTATAAATCCCAAGGGCGGTGCTCGCGGGACAGCCTTGCTCTGGCAACCCCAATCTGCACCCCCTTCCCGACCGAAAATGCCTCCTCCCTCCTTTGCACCCCCGCCCCCCGTGCTCCCCGCCCCGCCCAAGGCCCTGCTCCAGAGTGCGGGGTCCCGGGGCACTGGAACCACCCGCATCTGCATCTGCTGGCGGTCACAGCGCCTGGCGGTGGTTTCCGCGCCCACGGTCCCCACCCCGGGGCAGGATCCCCGTCCGCACCCCACCCCTCCACGCACTGGCAGGCCGGGGACAGCCGAGGAGCCCCGGAGGTCAGCGGCGCTAGGGAGCCGCCCCGGGGACGGGCCTCGGCTCGCGGGGCCGAATCGCGGCGGGCGCCGGCGGCACATGACCGCGGGCTCGGACCCCGCCCCGCCCGCCAGCCCGCCCGCCCGCGTCCCGGGGCTGCGGCGAGCGTGCCCGGCCCGCGCCCCGCACCCGGTCCCCGCGCCCGCGTCCCGCTCCCCGCGCGATCGCCCCGCGCCCGGCGCCCCGCAACCAGGCCCCGCACCCCGCACCCCGCACCCCGCGATCGCCCCGCGCACAGCCGCGCGCTCCTCCGCGGCGCCCCCTCCCCGGGTCCCCCAGCGCCAGGTCCCCGCGGCCCGCGTCGCCGGGGCTCGTGAGCGGCGTGCAGAATGGGCAGGTGCTGCTACTACACCGTGGGGACGCTGGCCCTGCTGCTGCTGGTGACGAGCGTCACGCTGCTGGTGGCCCGGGTGTTCCAGAAGGCCGTGGATCAGACGATAGAGAAGGTTAGAGGGGGCGCGGGTGGCGGGGAGCGCTGGGGTGGGGTGGGTGGGCCCTGCCGGACACCCACCCTCTTGCACCCGGGCGCGGCCGCCGCCTTTCTCGTCCTCTCGGGCTGAAGTACCCACGCAGGACCGTCCCCTTGAACCGCGACCCGTCAGTCTATGCGTTTGAAATTCCTTTTTTCTTCTGTCAAAGAAATCTTTTTTTTTCACTTGTTTATTTGTTTTTTCTATTTGCATCCCTTCCCGCGTCCTTGCACCGAATCTCTGTGGGGTTCAGACTCCTTTCCTTCCCGCCCCCCCACACTCATGAAAACTGCTTGAAAATGAAAGAATCTGCATGAAAATGAAAGAGGGCGGCTTTCCCGGCCGCTGCCTGCAACCTTTGAAGTGGCGCAGACTCACCGAGGAGCAGGTTGTGCAGGATAGTGAGTGAGTGACGGTGCACACGGGAGGCTGCTGACTTCCCTGCACCCGAGGGTCAGCCTGGGGGCCCACCTGGCAGCTTGGCAGCTGGTACCAGCCGTGTGAGTGGCTTGGTCGTGCCTTCCACTCCACTGCGCAAAGCTTCCGACACAAACGCCTGTAGGTTTTTTTGTTTGTTTGTTTGTTTGTTTGTTTTTTAAATTTTTATTAATGAAACACTATGAGGTACAGCTGTAGACTTACAAATTTTTGTGCTCAGAGAGAGAGGGACAGACATAGAAAGACTGCATGTAGGTTTTTAAAAGAAGCCGAACCTGCCTCTTCCGTTAGACCGGAGAAGATTTCCTTTCAGATTTCCCACTCTTGGACTAAATCCTGCACCCTTTCTTTTCCTCCTTCATTCACATGTGCCAATCAGTGTGGAAAGGGGAACAAGAGAGACAGGATCACTTTTTCCCTCTAAAAATGGGGGAACAAGAGAGAGTGACAGGATCACTTTTTGGTCTAATAATAATAATGATAATACTAGAGCAACTTTTCTTGTTTGCTCCCATGACCACGCGTTTCCCTTCTTCCACTGGTTAGCACTCGCCCTTGGGTAGGGAACAAAGCCCCATCCAGTTTGGTTGCTCTATGCTGGCTTGGTGAATTCTTATTCCAGGTGCCAACAGACATATTCCTTTAATAGAGGTTCCTCAAAGTTACTCGTTACTTGAAGTCTTGCAGTTAGTGCAACTTATTAAAAAACTGGGTATAATTTTAATATATATATTTAATTTTTATTAAAGGTAAAGGTAAAGGCCCTCCCGTTGATCGTCGATTTGCTCGAATGGGCCCAGTAACGTCTCCATTGGAGACTTTGTTGTTACTGTGTTTGGCATATCAAATACTCTCGGTAGCTTGCCGGGCTCTCTGAGAGGGGTGGAGGAATCGAACTCGGGTCGACCATGTTGGCCGCTTGTAAGGCGAACGCCCTACCCGCTGTGCTTAGTGAAACACTAATACAGTTAGGTACAGTTGCAGACTTACAAATTTTTGTGCTTGGGTTTCAGTTATACAATGATCCATTACCCATCCCTCCACCAGTGCCCATTCTCCATCATTTACATTTTATTTTTAAAATTTTTGTTAGTGAAACACCATGAGATACAGTTGTAGATTTAGAAATTTTTGTGCTTGGGTTTCAACTGTACAATGGTCAAACACCCATCCCTCCACCAGTGCCCATTTCCCACCACCACAGTTCCCAGTATCCCTCCCACCCCCCACCCCCCCATCCCACCCTGCCTCTGTGGCAGGGCATTCCCTTTTGTTCTCTCTCTCCTTTTGAAGTTCATGTTGCTGCCAAGGGAAGACAAAACCCACTGTGGGCATTTCTCAAAAGGAAAAAAAAATTACCTGAATCTTCCTCAACCCTGTCCTTCAAATCCGCAGTGAGAAGGATAGCAAGCGCTTGCCTTGGTGCTGGGGGAATGTAGACCAGGCCAGTCGGGATGTGAGTTTCTTTGTGTGGCTTTGGAAGCCTGTTCCAGGAGCACCCTCTGAGCTGGCCTTTCCAGGGCCGCCCACATCCCCTGCCTGCTGATACTCCGTGGGGTGCATCTGTATTTTGTTAGCGGGGTGTGTGGGGGGTGGGTCGCACGGGCCAGGGACATGAAACAAGGCCATGAACACAACACAGTTTGGCTGGGGCTAAACTTTGCCTTGCTACTTGTTGGCTTTTTCATGTGATTTACTGCATGAGGACTAGACTGTCCCAGCTGATTCGTCATCACGCAGGGGAAGGGCCCTTCAGGATTGCTTGACCCGTTAAGGGACACTGTGCTCTATTGTATGTGAAACTAAGTGACAGAACCAGCTTCATTTGGGCAGCTGTGGGAACAGAGGACACCCGTTACAGCTCTCTCCTGGATTGTGTGTAGGACAGTGGCATGTGATAGTGGGAAGGAGTTAGGACTCTCCTGGCCTGGAATCCTGGCTTCTTCTCGTACTGCCAGCTGACCTTTGGCTTCTTGTGTAATCATCTTTGGAGTCCCGGTTCCCTGTTACGGAATGGGCATAATTACTCAGGCAGACATCTTATATGAACTATTAGGGTAAGTATAGTGCTCTTGGGATAGATAGTATTTCATAAAGTTCATCGCTTCCTTTTTATTAGAAGCTACATCAGCCAAGAAAAATTGCATGATATTTGAAGTCAGCCACTCTGTCTAACTCCCAACCTTGACTTATTTATAAACTTTTTCCAGGTAAACTTCACTTCTCTGCACCTCATTTTCATTATGCAGTGAAGTAAGAGTGGTAGCGCTCTTGGCACAGAGATGCATTTCCCGCAGAGTCCACAGAGCTTAAGCAACGTGCCCCTCGCTGCCACATGCCCCTCTACAGCCGGACGCCTACTTCCCTATCCAAGATTTTCTTTTTCTTAGGAAGGGCCGCCCCACCTTGTCTAACCTTCAGGTCCCATGATCCCTGGCTGTGATTCTGTCACTGCTCTGGCAAGACTGCGGGCAAGTCCCTGGAAGGTCTGGGGCATGGAACCCACAGAGTATCAGGCAGAGAATGGAGGGTTGGTTATAGCCATCATCATGACTTTCATCATTGTTGTTCAATTCATAACTGGACATTAATATAGTTATGGCAGAATCCACTCTAATAGTTCCAGTTCTTAGTTCTTTCATGGAAAGATCGTCCATGCCTGGGTCTATATCGTCTATATCAAAAAGAAAAGACAGGAGAGATATAAAATTGAAATGAGGAAATCTGACTATTTGGAAGCTGATCACAAAAAAGAGTCCTACCTGAAAAAAATTTACCTCTGTAAGTGAGAGTTTTCCTTGAGACCCGAGTTGATTGAAGGCTTTTATTTGGACTGTGGGTAGAACAAAGCAAGACCCTTTGATTCCTTTCTCTCTCTCTCTCTTTTTTTGGATTTTTGGGTCACACCTGGCGATGCGCAGGGATTACTCCTGGCTCTGCACTCAGGAATTACTCCTGGTGGTGCTCAGGGGACCATATGGGATGCTGGGAATCGATCCCGGCTTGGCCGCAAGTGCAAGGCAAGTGCCCTACCTGCTGTGCTATTGCTCCAGCCCCTGATTCCTTTCTCAACCTCACTGATAACTGATAACTGCAGGTATTGGGCAAGTATGTCAAGAATCTAAATTGGGGGGGGGGGGTGGCACAGAGAGATCGTGATGCTTAAGGCACTTGCCTTGCACATGGCTGACTCTGATTTGATCCCAGAGCCACTGATGGTCCCCTGAGCACACCCTCTGGTGTTGCCCACAAACAAAAGTCTAAATTGTGGGACCTGAGAGATAATACCGGGGTTAAGGCGCTTGCCTTGCATGCTGCTGACTCCAGGAACATCCATGGCACCACCCCTGGCCTCCCACATCATCAGCCCATTTTGGATGTTCTCTCCTCCCCGAAAAGAAACTGAAGTTGCTTATGCCTCAGTATTCTCATGTCCTAGAGGATGAGTAAAGTCTCCTCCCGCCCAGTCTCAGCATACCCACTTCCTTCTGAGGAGGTACTGCGTTCAGACCTCATCTGGCAGTGTTTTGACTCCCTGCAGACACAGTTTTGCAGAGACTCAGCCACACTCTTCCCTTGCTAGGGCTGGGGAGGATCAGGGCTTCATTCTCTGTTTAATTTGGTGACTCACAGGGTGCTCCCGATCCCTAACATACCTGTACACAACAGGTACATAATAAATGCCTGTAGCCACACTGTTGGCCTTGAGCTGAAAGAGTAGTTTGTGAGAATCAGCTGAATTAGTTGAATTCCCTTTTTTTTTTAAAAGAAAAATCACTAATACATATTTGAACATAACACACATTTGAACATCAGCTCAGAACCAGCTCTAAAAATCTCTTATTGAATATGGGGGCAATAAGAATACCTGATTGTCACAAGACTAAAATTATGGGTCTGGGAGAGAGCTCAGTGGGCTGAGGAACTACTTTGCGTGAGGGACATGCAGGTTCAATTCCTGATGCCATTGGTCCCTTCAACACAACCAGGAGTAGCCCCTGGGCACTCCAGGTATGACCCCCAAACCAATAGTAAAAGAATGAAATTAAAGAACCGGAGTGGATTAGGCACTTGCCTCACATCCAACAACCAGAGTTTGATCCCCTGCATTCCATATGGTCCCCTGAGATTACCTGAAGTAAGGTCTGAGCACAGGAAGGTATGGACCCAAAAAAAAAAGCCAACTAAAAGAGATGTAAAAAATGAAATTAAATGATTGATGTAAAACCTGCAGCACAGTGCCTTGCACAACGCCTGGATATTAGCATCTACTATGTTTCCGACTCTGATTTTTCTCTTCTGTGAACAAAAAGCTTATATTCTAGGCCAGGTTCCTGTAGCTGCAAACTTCTGAATCTTGACGTGTGATCATTATTGGAGAGTAGCCATGTAGCTTAGGATTTTAATTTTCCTCTCAGACTTACTAACACTCTGAACACCTCTCACTCAGAACCAGGAATGTGGAGTTGGCCAAAGTCAGTGTTAGCTGGGGAAGAGACGGGTTGGCTGGGAACCGGGGAGGGGGAGCAGGTCATCAC